TGAGTTCCTTCGCTTCGCGGGATTAGATTTACTAACACCTTTTCTAAAGCGCTGAAAAGCGTTAAATACCTCTGTGTGAACCTCAAGAACTGAATATCCGAGAATAGTCTCTGTGTGTCTCTTGTTCATTATATCTTGTATATGTCATTTCCACCGTACACACGTGGAGAATATTATAGTTTACTTTTTTTTATAAATTCTTTTCGATCTTACTATGTTTCTTTAGCAGTGCAGGAATAAACTAGCAGTAAGATCTATCTTGCTAAGAAATATAGTAAATTTTGTTGGGAACATAGCAAATCTCGTTAGAAACAGCAACATTTTTAGTAGCACATTCAGTCTTTATAAGTGACACAGGTGAAATGAAAAGATTGTCAATTATTACAAAATGTCCATTTACTTAGTTACAAAATTCTATACTAATTTTTATTCGTATCTATTATATTATAAATGAATAAAAAAAAAAAAAAAAAAAATATATATATATATATATATATATATATATATATATATTCTGTACAGTGTAAAAGATTTTGTATTATAAATTTAACACATTTCAATATAATATAACCATAATATGTTAACTTAACACATGGGTATGTTTAAAATTTCAATACAAAGATAAAATATCTTTTAGTTTATACTAATTTCTATTTATTGTATAAAATTCTTTCTTTGTGTATATTTTGTGTATTACGTCTACTAAGTAATTAAGAGCATGTTTAATTCAAATGATTCCTTAAATATTTGATTGACATTTCATTTTAAGATGAAGGAACGGTTAGTTCCTTTTCTAACGAATTGGAGCAATTTCTCGTGAAAAGTTAGAGCATTTCCCATCGCGGATATTTTCTTCCTTGTCACACCGTCGTTACGCTTGTGTTCTTACGATATTACAACCTAAATTCATACTTTTGCATTCCGAACGACCGCGAGGCAAGGTAGTCGTGTGAATAGTTGCCCGCATAAGATCCACACTAACGCGACTAACTAAATCCTGTTGGGAATTCTCGTTCCGTCGACGAGGGATAGGAGGAGGAGGAAAAGGAGGAAGGGTAAGGCGGAGGAGGATGGTCGAGGGGGATGTGGGGGACAGGGAGAGAGGTCGACGGTGTTATAAGGAGGCACTTTTGATCGAGTGTCCCCTCGAAAGCACTTCGTAGTCGTTGAAAGCCTCCGCGCGACGACCGGCTCGTACTGCGAATGTTACAGATACACCCGGTACGTGTATGTATATAACCGGCACATAGGGCGGCAGTATATATTTCACAACGCGCTGAATGCAACAGGACCCACTTCAGAGATCATACGCTCGGAGGAGTGCATCAGACTCTCCGCGAAATTCCCGGGAAAGAATAGGAATGGCGGACAGAAATACAGCTTTAGTATTTGTGCAGACCCGTGCATTATTTAACCGGGCTATTTCGAGTCTCCGCACATGACAGTTCATTAGCAATCACGAGCCATGAGTCCTTTTTAATCGTCTACATCGGCCCTCCGCGGCGCTTGTCCCGCGGAAACGACGTCTCCGTCGTTTGAATTCGAATCTCTGACATGAAGATGTTTGAGCCGCCCTGTGCAGATTGTCGATATATATATATTTGAAATGAGAGGACAGTCAATTACAAAATGTATCGAATTATCTCGTAGTTACAAGCCTACGGTAGGGGACACTGAGTCAGTTGTCACACTTTTTATATACTGATTTTTAAAAACAGATGTATGCAATATTTTTTAATATTATGCACATTTTCACATAAGTATAATCTTTAGGTAAGAGAGAAGAAATATTATACCTATATATATTTATACACAAAAAGTTATTAAACTATAAGCAAAGTCGTGTAAATGTGATTATCCACTCAGTGACTAACCCATGCCTAGGATTGGTTGTCATGTGTTTTTCACATATAAAGGAAACAATTTATTTCTGTCTTAAGGTTTCAAAAGTTTTATTAAAGTTATATCTTATCTAATCAGATATACGATAAACAATCACTGAACTAAGAAGATAATAATGCTCATAAATTTTGTTAAGAGACACGGTAGTGTCTCGCGCCAAGTGCACGCATTCGGCCGAACATTCGGCTGCATTAAAAGTTGATTAATATAATTAAGAGCAATTGTCTGATCCTCCTATGTGGATCTTTCTGCTCCTACAGCCGAGTTTTTCATCTGGCCCCTGAGTAACAGAAGATTCAGTTACACTAATGGAATTGTCTTTTCGTGTACTAAGTAATTAAGAATATATTTAATTCAAATGGTTCCTTAAATATCGGTTTGATATCCTACTGTGAACGACGAAACGTTCCAATCCCACATAGTGCCAATTCGACGTAGTGTCCGAGACGATCGATGGCCCATTGTATTAATTAAATTGGCAACAGTCGCTGCTCAATTGAGCTTATAATTATTATTCTCCTACTATGTTGCATAATTAACTGCGATATCGGCCGTCGCGGATTTTTGTCGACGTTGCGGCACCAATAAACCGTAACGTTCGTAAGCTCGCTAACGACTCGGAACGTGGGACGTCACGAGGAAGCGTTTCCGCGCGACTTTCCCGTCAGAAAGCCTCGACTTCGCCGTTCGCTGACGTGCGCGCTCGTTGTAAAGTCGGACGTAAAGTTTTCGCCGCGGATATTCGTCGACGTCGTCATACGCTGTCGCATCGCGACTTTGTCGACTGCTCGACGATCGTTAGCGGGCACTTGTGTCCTTTACAGTCGGATCGTTAGACTATCATCTTCGTTTAAGATTTAAGAGACTCCTGGTAAGCGAGTCGCTGGTGCGCGGCGACGGCGAAGGCGGCGGGATAACGATCGTCTTCGCCGTCACTGCGGCTCTTCTTGCACCCTCGTTCGCGGAGAGAGACGCGGCTCTTCTTTCCTTCCTCTCTCTTCCTCTCTTTCCGCTCCCTTGGCTTCGTTTCGTGGGTGTCGCGATATTACGGCGCTCGCTTGGAAGTTTTATGAACCCTTCGCGAACCCACGTTGTATTAAGTCGGCGTTCGGCGAGCCGATATACCCGGGGAAACGATCGTTCCCCGGAAGTAAGCGTTTCCAGGCGCGTCGATCGCGCGGCATAACGTTAACTCGACGGCGCGATCGTAATCGCGATCGTTATGCGGCGAAAGTTCGGCGACTGCTCGAGTTAGCGCAGTGGGATCCGACGACTTATGTTCATCAGTACGACAATGATCGTGATGTAATACTCGAACCGTTATAATGAACGTGAAAGGAGTCCACGAGCGTCCAGGATCAACTACGAGCGTCGATTCGTCGTTGTTATCGTCATCGTCGTCGTTGAGCAAGCTGCAGAACCGAGAGATCTATCCTCATCTCGGGAGATTCGTTTCCCGGCGCTGTTTGCATGATAGATCTGTCCGGGGGGCTCGTTCCGGCGTTGGCAAACAAATCGACGCTCGTTGAATCGCTAATTACACGCGGTGGCTAATTGGATAATCATGGTAAGGCGTGGCTTCAACGGCCTGCACGGTCTGCGTCTTACCGTCGCTGTGCTTCCGCGAAACTCGCATTATGAGCCTGAGCACTGTCTCCGCGTTGTTAATAACTCGCTCGTAATTTATCGGCGAACTTTAAATGGGCCGGCACCGTTGAAAAACTTGCGGAATAGCCATTAGGGGAGTAATGTGAATTTATGCGAGCGGACTATCGATTACCGCCGCCCATTCGCCACCGTGATTCACCGGCCGCAGTCTTCAGCACGCAACTTTTGTATTCGCGCCGCGTTTGTTGCACGTACATGGCGTAACATAGCGATTTATCGCTTCATTCTGGTTAAGTCCGCTCTCGTAAGGTCAAGTAAAATTCACACCTTGGCAGGAAAGCGGAAAGTCAGAAATCGCACTGGTACTCGATAGTTTCTGAAAAGATACTGCTTTACTACCAGCGCGAGGTTCTGATTGCTTTCTACCTTTGTGCTTTTCTGCCGAGGTACAAATGCTCTTTTAGAGAGAATTTACATCTTGGCAAAAAGACAGAAGCCAATGAGAATTCGCGTTGGTACACGGGAAAAAAAGTTTAGTTGGATTAACTAGATTTTTGGTTGAATATTTCTGATGAAGATTTCTGATGAAATAATTAAAGTTTGTAAATCGCACTCCAGTAGAGATTCGCTGAATCAGCTTATAAGAAGAGATCAGAAAAAATATATCGAGCATGGAGTAGACTGAGCCGGGGTTCAAACTTGGGTCTTTCACTATTCAAGTGATTGTTCTACTAACCAGATTTCTAGTGAAACGCAAACGAACCAGAAATTTCGGTTGAAGGTCACTAGAATTCTGTTCACATTAATAAGATTTCTGGTCTGCTTGAGAGCAGAATTTTGGTAACTTTCAGCGAAATTTTCTGGTTCTTTCATATTTTATAAAAAATTTAGTTGATCCAACCAAACGTTTTTTTTTTCGTGTAGAAAAGTAGAAATTGTCAACTACCATTACATGATCATCAGTTCATCATGATCACGAGTTCTATCAAGATGTGAATTCTCCCTTAGATTGCAATTCGCGTGCTGCTAGCATTTCAGTAGCTATTTGTGCGCGTTAGTCGCATATTAGTTTTTATAATAGGTCGCTGATGAGATACAAAAGTTGTGCTCTTGCCTAAGGGATCACACTCGATCCCGCCTGAAGCAAACTATAACTTGGAGTCAACGCTGAAGTTCGAGATGTACAAATTGAATTGAGCGAGGTCTTGTTCATTCTAGGTCTTGTTCATCTCATCTTTGACATATTCAACACACGCGTTTATTTGCGAAGTTGTACACGAATGAAAGGGAAAGAACGTCACCTTGTCTGTGAGGAACGAGCGCTGAACGAAACCGCGAATAAAAGGCGCTGTCCGAACGAAAAGAAAAAGAAAAAAAAAGAAAGAAAGAAAAAGATGGGAGATGGGGAGAAATGTATATCTTTGCTATACCGTGTCACGTTCCATTATGCAAAAGAATAATACCTCGTTCTTTTCTCTTTCTGTTCGCAGCTGACAGCAGCTTCCTACTGGCGAACGCTCAGATCGTCGACTTCCCAATCGTCTATTGCAACGAAAGCTTTTGCAAGATCTCCGGCTACAATCGTGCCGAGGTATGAGTACCTTATTAATACGACAGACACTTGATTACCCCTTTCTTCCCTTTTCCTTTTGTCTTTAATTCAGTTTCGCGTCATTTGCGAAATTGCCTTCGTTTCTATATTTGTATCCATTACGATTGGCTGAATCGCGCACTGAGAAGAAAAATATTTGAAAACTAATATATTGAAGGATATAGAGTTTATTTTGGTGAAATAAAATTTGACAAATACATTTTCACAAATACATTTTCAAGTAATTTTTTTCTCAGTACGTGATGTGTTTTTCGCGTAACCTCATGTATTCACCTGCTTAATTACGTACACTGAGAAAGAACTGCTTTAAAATTTATAGGATATAGGGTTTATTTCACAGAAGTGCATTTCGCGTTGCCCAGAAGAGTTAATCACAAATAGAAGAGTTTATAAGAGAACTCTTATATCCCACAAATAAATTTTCAAGTATTTCTCCCTCAGTGTAGCGCGTCGGGCATTTCATTTATGCCCGAGGATGATTTGTCTTATTAGACAACTGGAAATCGCGTTCGCTGCAATTTATCGGGATTGCAACATTTCACACTTCGCCGCGCAACGGAGCCGTTCAATCGACCTGGCTGCGCGTCGTTGCGCACCGCGCCGATACTCAGTTTCGGCGTTAAGGATCCGATACGTATTTACAACATTACATTGCCATATATATCCTGAAACAACCGCGATGTCCACCTGGTGGTGTTATGAGCAATGGCTCGGTTATCCCGTGCCATCCCTCACACTTGCCAGGATGAGAATGGCGCGAGCGGCGCGGATAACGGGATTTAGCGACTGGCGCGAGTTGATTCATCGACATCGATTTATAGTCGCGCGCGCAGGGATAAGAGTGGCGCGAAGGACGAGAAGTCCATGAGATCGTATCGCGTCGCGGCCAGCGGCCCGTGCTATCAAACTTCAACTAATGGCTAATTGCTAATTTGCCCGATCGATACGGCTTATTCGGCTCCTAATAATTTAAATCTCGGTTTAAGGATTATTACTGGACATTTGTTATCGCGCGTGACGGACGCAGGCGTCCCGAGATTTGTGCAGAATTAGAAAAGACAGCTCGACGGGAGTTCGATTTTCGATAAGAACATGCTCAATATGGAGTGTTGTTTGGCCGTGTTCAGCAGAGAAAGTTGCTTCGCAACTGTTGGAAGATTCGTGAATCTGATCGCATGATCTTAATCATGGCTGGATCCAAGAACGTATACCAATTAGGTTCACGAATTTTACAACAGTCGCAAAGCAGCTTTCTCTGCTGAACGCAGGCATTGGTTATTCGTGGTTTCAAGTATGTTCTCCCTTTCATGCGAAAAACAAATTTGATTGAATTAATCAAGTGTCTGAAAAAAAACAAGATTCGCAACAGTTTAAGTTGGACAATTGCGAGTTCTGGTTAACCAGAAATCTTGCTTAATTAACCAGGATTAATTTGAATAGAATTCTAGTAACATTATACGGAATTCTGGTTCGTTCATTTTCACCAAATATTTGATTAATCAAATCAAATTCTTTTTCCATATGTTATTATTAAAATTGATATAAAAAGTTCAATTGAAAGCATCCCGGAAAAGGACCTAAATGTCATATACAAATTAATTTTTTATTTTATACACAAAAAAGAACATTTTTCTTTTAAAAATATCTTTATTTTTAATATGAATTTTAAAGATTGAACGAAGGTGATTGAAGTCACTTGTTTCGACATATTTTATATGATTTAACAAAGTGAAATATATTTTTATTATTCAAAAATAATTTTCAATGGAATGGAAGGCACAAAATATTTAATTGATATGATATGATATCTACAAATATCGGAAGAAGATATTATCATCAAAATAATACTTTTATTATGCTTTTTATTATACTCTTTATTATAATATTAAAAAAAATATAACATTGAAGAAATGTTGAGAAATTCAACATTTCAAAACTCTTCTAACCAAATTATATATCGTTACTTATATGTGAAATATATTATTGATCATCGTGGATATATTAGTTCTAAATAAATACTAATTTCCTTTATGCGTTTATTGAAGTGCAATAGCTGTGCGTAGACTTTCATTGACTCCTTCTCTGTAAACGTCGGTTAAAATCTATATCCATATTGATCGGCGCGTTTCGTGAAAGTTCGACAGGGCGTGACTTTTCTCCGGAAGGAAAAAAGGAAGAGAAAAACGGTCGTAAATCATGTATACGGGAGTAAACAGGAAACGTGGGGAAAAGGGACGGGATCGTAAACTAGTGTTGAAAGAAACACACGAAAATTGCTGTTCCCACTTATATCGAACGTCTTGAATTATTCGATCGGCGCGATTCGACGCGACGCGACGCTCCGGCAACCTGACCAAAACGACAGCGACGTGGGTGGAGAGGCAGAGTAACTACCGTTTCTGTAAGACTCCCAATGTTCCAATCCTATTGTTCGGGAAGATACATGGATTTGGGGTTTGCAAACTCCATTACTGGAAGCTGGATTGGGGGTGCTTTTGTAGGGAGGTTTACGCGCGGCGGGGGAGACGGAGGAGAAGCGACGGGGGTTTGCGAGTCACGGGATACGCGTCTTCGACTTCGTTCTCTAACGTTCCGCGTGGCGATGTAGCGCTCTCGCACGGTGTTTTCCTTCGTTTTTCACTTCTTTCTTAACAATTATCGCGCTAAGAAGAGTCATCGGTTGCGAGTTCGTTAACAGTCGCGAGCTCCCTACGAAAAATCTTCCTGGAGGTGGAACAGCGCGAAATAGAAAACAAGCGTGACGTCTGGTCCGTCTGAAATCGTGCCTTCTACATACTAGCGATGTTATTAAGGAAAATGACGTTAACGGCCTCAAAGATGTAATCGGGTTAATGTAATCATACAATCGTAGAATTTCTTTCTTGCGTTTAACGCCGCCGGCTTCCTCGGAGGTGAATCGTGTCGCAGCGGCGTCGCGCCCGATAATACATCCCCATCCGAGCCATCCTCCGAGGGTGCGCAGCTTGTCATCCTACGTTTTATTGTATAAACAGCTGGAGCGAGCGGTTGTAAAAAAAGAAAAAAAAACACAACCTATACAACACAGAAGCTATTGCTTTACATAAATATGGCCATTGCGTTATTTCCGTGCCGTTTTATCGCGCAAATATTGAAACGGAAGATACGAGCGCGCGGCATTGTGTCCCGATATGGGGCGTCGGGGATTATTCGAAACAAATCTCTCTCTAATGCTGGAGTTCGCGGCGTGAGTTAAATGGCGCGACGATGAAGGATCCAAGTAGAAAGAACGACCTCTTTCTAGCCGATAACTGGCCAGGAATTCTGGTTATTGGCTAGTTTCTAACTAGTTTAGACGTTCAGAGTAACTGGATAGTAATAGAATTCCTCAAGTTTGAGTTAGAACATTGTCCGCCATTTGTAAGGAGGAAATGAGTGAGTGAATGAGAGAGAGAGAGAGAGAGAGAGAGAGAGAGAGCCTGCAACGTGCTTTGTCATTCCAGTCTTAGAGTTTCTCTCACTCTCACCTTTAAAAATGGCAGACAGAATACCAATCAGGCAGATCAATCAGGAATTATCATGTCCTAACTCTGACTAAAGAAACTCTAGATGGTAAAATGAGTCAATTATTAATAAGTTTTTTACTAGTTTTAAACAAACCTTTTTTTATATAGTTTTAAATTTTTATATAGTTTTTGATTATATAGTTTGATTCTACATTATAAAACATTATATTTTATTATTCGATATAAGCATAACGTGAGACTCATGTTGCAGAAAGTATAATCCTTTCACGTACAAATTTATTTATTATTGCAGCTTTATTTTACTATTATTTTTCCTAGTTTCTGGTCAGTAACTATCCAGTATTTACTCACCATTTTTATCGTCTAGTTTCTGGTTAATAAGCCAAGAAATACGGATAAGTATTTTCCTGTTTAGTTTCTGAACAGTTACTGTTTAAAAAATTTTAGTCAGTAAAAACTGGCCAGTTTCTAATTGGTGAACACTTTTTCCTAAAAATTTTTCTAATTAGGGAAGTTTCCCCATTGTCTCTCGCTGTTCTTCCTCAAATTTGTACCCGCTGTTTCGCGGGCATGTATGATGTTATCTACTCGACGACGACGTCGCCGATGTTATCTGCGCGGGCTGATTGCGCGTCCAATTAAAAATTGCAGGGCGCAGGTTGAAAGCACGGCACGAAAGTTATATCGCTCCCTGTTGCGTTCGCGAGCCGGCGGGATTTAAAGGTCAGCACTACGGGATTAATAAATCTGTTTCGAGGTCGAAAAACACGATATCGGCCTACGCCCGATATCCCGCACGAATGGCACTGCCGTTTCTCGCTTTCGTCGGCCGTTTGATAACAAAAATCGGGTCAGCTCAATCTATCGACGTTATCGATCCGCGGGATCGCTATTTCGAGGAACAATTTATACGGAATGACTGATGCTTATGGCGTTTGACGCGCGCGTCCGAAGATACCGGTATTTCGCGTTCTTATTCCCGGCCGAGACGGATTTGAATTTCATGCTATCGATCCGCGGGATCCGGCTATTTAAAGCAAAATAAGTTTACGCTCTCGTGGGCGCTTTGATTTATGACAACTGTTATTCACAATTATAGCGTCCTTCCTTTATTATTACATCACCGGCCTTTAGTTTTATGCGTCGCGCGAATTCGTCACGAGCGAGCACAGATTATCGGGACGAATTCATTCCACCCTGATCAAATTAGCCCTAATCGGTTATCTGGCTTGTATAATTTTATCGGTTCTATACGGAGACAATATTGTAGTAAAAATTACGTTAATATTCTATTTCTTTTCACAATGTTTCTTGTGAGCTTGGACTATATTGAAATTGTAGTACCACAAATAAACAAGTTTGACTCATTGAAAGAAAGATTTTGTTGTCGAAACGAAAATTTGATACATCAGACCATAATTTGATTAAAACGGCCAATGTTTAGTAATTGCAACAAAAATTTAATTTCCGCTATGTGTTTTGGTTTCTCAACAGTACATATATTTGTCACAAGTAAAAAATATATAACGCCAACCAAATTGTGTGTATGAAGTATTTTGCAGTTCCAAGTACAAAAATATATTTTTAAGTGTTGGTTAAACAATTTCTGCTGAAATATGAACGATTCAGAAATTCGGATTAAGACTACCAGAATTCTGTTTGAGTTAATCAAAAATCCTGATAATTTAAATTGAATTCTGGTAACTTCAACTCGAATTTCTGGATCGTTCATGTTTCACTAGAAATTGGTTAGTACAATCAAACTTTATTTTCTCTATAAAAATTAGTGTAGAAATAGTCAATTTCTCCGTCAACAACTAATCCGATACGGTACAGTAAAAACATTCAGATACACAAATTACAATAATTTTGTGGTAACAAGTCAAACGTGCTTATTATTTTTAAACGAACATATGGTAATTTCGGTCATAATTCTGCATAGTTCAAAATCACAAGAATTTTGTTATATTAATTTTGCTGTAGAACTTCTACAATATTTTTTTCGTGTAATTATTAAAAAAGTCCTAAAATTACTAATAATTCTTGTTATCAATAAGGTCCTGATTGTCACGATGCGTTAGATGACTCATCAAGACCCAATAACATCATCTTACACTAAGCAGATAACTGATTGGGACCAACTTAATCAAGACCACGGAATAAATTCCGTGGGAATTTATAATTGTTTATAATTGGATATGCTGGGACGAGATCGGAATAGAAACCTTTTCTCTTTTCCTTTCTCGGCAAACGTTTGAAAATTTCACGCCGTTGAATCGTAACTCGCGCTACAATCTTTATTAATACATAATGAAGGCAAAGTGCTTATTAATAATAGGCGGGCCGTTCTAATTATGAAGCAGATTAATCGATCTTCCATTAACCATAGTAGTCGCGCGCATTTATCATCTATCCGTATGTCCCTTACAATTACTTATCTATAATGAGAATGCTCATTGCATACACGCATCATACACACACACACACACACACACATATATATATATATATACGTACATACGATATTCTGCGAAGGAATAATTGGGTCGCAACGGGTGTTTCATGCATTCCCCACCTTGTTCGCAGGTTATGCAAAAGTCATGCCGTTGCGGATTCATGTACGGGGAACTGACGGACAAGGAAACGATCGCCAGGATCGAGGAGTGCCTCGAGGGCCAGATTCACGATCAATTCGAGATCCTACTGTACAAGAAGAACAGTAAGTCTCCCGAGCGTCGAGTTTCTTGCATGCGACGGCTTCAATGTGGCGTCCATGGCTTGTTCGCGAGAATCGATGGTTTCAGGCGCCGCGTTTGCGATTGACGCCTAATTCGCGGATCAAAGCAAGACGACAGAGTCACTGACAACCAGAAATAGATTCGAAACTTCCGAAATTTTGAAATCCTCGAATCTAAAGCATCGGTTGTTCCATAATCACGACAACATCGACATCATTGTTTCACAAGCGTGAAGAGAGAATAAACGTCAAATTTGCGGACGATATTGTCATGTGAATGAATCAAGGATTAATCTCGTGGCCATTATAGCCGAAATTGCTGGATAGCGGGCTGGATGTAGTTGCCGTCCGCGGTGTAATTTAATCGCGTTGGCGATTTGCGATCCCGACAAAACTTGCAGATCGCGCCCGAAATCGCGCCGATGGCGCGTGTACGTTTTTCCTTGGCGCGTTTGTCACGCACGGTAATAGGATGGTCGTATAAAGAGGAGAGGGGGAGAGAAAAACTCCCCCACGGAATCTCGGCCGGGGAGTTATTGCGCGAAATTTGCATGCGCGTGTTTATCGGGCCGTATCTAGTTTCCTATTGCGCCACCGTGCACTTTATGCGCCGTGCACGCGAAAACGGTTCGAAGTGCCTGGCAATCAACGGTCTGTGTGTTTAATGGAAAACAAAACGCCGCCGCTTAACCGCCGGCGAACCGACACTTGACCGACGAAACTCCCTTGAATTAATCGGGACACCTCCAAGTAACCGCCGTTGACGATCACGACAGTTTCTGCGGCCTTTTGATGTACATACACGACAGAAACGCCGAGAGGAAGGCCAAAGGCTCGTCCGCTGCGAGTGTAATCGGACGTATCGCAACTTCTTCGCGACTTGGGCCGCAGCGTGTCGAATAATCGCGATACGAGAGAGTCACTCTTTGAAATCGAGGTAGCGTATCGCGAGATCAAAGAGACGTTGTTTTTGAGGATGAGCGGCAGCAGTCGCCGTTCGTCTCTCTGCACCGTGATGTCAAAGCAATGGAATTTTTACGCGCGTATTATGCAGAGGGTGATAGATAACACGTGATGGATATTGTTTATCGCGAACCTTGGAGGTTTATGCGTTGCCTCTGGCGTTAAGATGTTTTCTCTGGCTTCCTCAAGAACTGTACACTGAGAAAAAAGCAGTTCAAAGAAATTCGTTCAAGCGAACGTTTAGTCGATGGTTTTGCCGCGGTTATCAATAGATTCAATAATCGCGATTTGGTCAGTAATTGTATCAACGCAACTTATTGCTGCGCTAGCGCGTAATTTGTCCAATAGACGGGCAATATTTTGTCGATCCAATTGTCTTTTTCTCGGTGTACGTGCAGTGGAGAGTCCATCGTACATGACACTTGAGTAATTTCAATCGTTCGTACGACAATTACCGTGGTAAGCAAGCAAAGCGTGCGTTACTGTCGCAATAACAACGACGACGATAACGGCGATCGTCGAATAGAGAAACCATCGATTCCCGGGAAACACTTTGGGAAAACGCCTCGAGGCACGAGATGTATCATTGTGCATGCGCAATATCGATCGAACATCGAAACGTAACTGTTCACATCACCTGGCGACATCGATACGATACGACGGCCAGCAAGATTCGTATTATCGCCACTCGTTATTCCGTCACCTCACGTCATCTCACTCTGATATATTCGTGTACTGTTTCTCTTTTCTTTCTCTCACTCTCTCACTTGTTCACTTATTCTCTCTCTCTTTCTCTCTCTTTCTCTCTCCATGAAAGCTTCCTGTCCGACGTCCGTGCGATTATTTCCGATTCTTGATCTCTCAGTAGAGGAGAGCCATCTCCCTTAATACGATGCAACGTGTTAAGCTCAATAATGAAAGATCGTTCTGTTTCAAGGTACCCCACGAGGTATGTCTAGCACAGGTTCGCAAAAGCGTGCTCGCAAATGCCACCAGTAAGTCACCCACGAATCTAAAACAGTATACAACAGACACCATATATATATAGATATATATATATATATATATATATATATATATATATATATATATATATATATATGCGACAAATATACTTTAACATACCACCGATTCTACATTCGCGCGGGACACGTCCGAGAAGCATCGCCGTCGCGGCGATGCTTCGAGAACGACGTCCTGTCTATGTGTATACACCTGCCGTAACGCGATCGACCAGTTGGCGTTCGAGGATCGTCGAACAGTTTCCGGTAATCAAAAGCGCTGTAACGATTCGCTGTAACGAGGAACAGCCTTGCCTATGTGGACATCATATACGACTATTGCGATTTGATCCTTTGATTTCACTTCATGTCTCGTTTTCGTCTCATCTTCGCTTTGACTTGACTTTCCTCGTGACGTGAAAATCCGTATACGCGATGAACACAGAGGTGCATCGTAGAATCTCGACATGCTTATGTTCTACACTTTGAATCTTAAGTAATGTTAAATCTGTAGAATCGTGCGCAGAGAAGATATTGTAGTAAAAATTACGTTAAAATTATATTTCTTTTCATGATGTTTCTTACAAAGCTGAACTAATATATACAAGAAGAAGAGTTTAGCTATAGATTTCTGATGAAATATAAAGAAATTCCGACTGAAGTTATTAGAATTCTGCTTAGGTTAACCGGAAAAACCTTGATAATTTCAACTGAATTCTGATAACTTCAACTGGAATTTCTGTACTCTTTACACGTAGGTCGTTTGAAAAGGTACGTGGTCTAATGCAGAGATTGCACGAATTTGCCCAAATCTTTATTACCGTAGTTCAGAACTATCCTTCATTAGGTCAAGTGTGACAGTATAGAGTGATCTGTCGATTAGTCTTTGTTTGACAGTATGCCAAAGTGTATAATTTTGTGTGTATAATTTTTACTACAACACTTTCTCCGTGTATTGTTAGAGTAGAAACGTATTGAGAAGTGCAATAATCGGAGACTGCAAGAGTGAAGAGGAATTATCTTGAAGCAGGGAAACAGAAGTTGGACCGATGAAATTGTCACACTTTTTCACTCGTTATTTTTAGACGTCGATTAACTAAACTCAGCTTGATTTTCACTAGGCTCACGAATGAAAAATGGTGTCTTATCACGCCGAAACTCTCCGACACACCTTCATTTTCCGATATGTTAACATTAACTAGAGAGAGAGAGATCTGAAGTCGATTGTTATTAGTCTTCAACGCGGTTAACTTTGGTTTTTTTCGAAATCCATTTCTAATGTCACATTCGTCACCTTTGTTTTCCTCCATAGTAATTGAGAGCCACCCACGGTCTCTCTCTCTCTCTCTTTCTCTTTCTCTCTCTCTCTCTTCTCTCTCTCACACACGCTAGAACGGAAAGGTTGTGTAGCCTCGCAATAGCGCCATTCGCTGACTGCTGTAAAAATAGATCACGGACGATATTTTCGCGTGACATTACGCCCGTTTGGCGAGTCGAAGTGCCTTTTTGCCGGACAAAAGCCCGGCCAATGGCCCTTATCGTCGGAAGGGACGGAGACGGATGCAACGGTGTTCGTTCCTCGCCGGAGAGAGCAGGGGCGTTACCTTGAGAGGATTATCAACCCCACGAGATTGATTAAACCGCGGAGGGAAGCACCGGGCATTATATAAAGGGCGAATTAATTAAACGCCATGTTGCGATAAGGGAAAATTTTTATCTCCGACAAAAGTTTTACTTTCATTCGCGCTTTATTATCCTTGCGGGCGACACGACGTGTACATAGTGACCGGCATGAAGAGCCGCATATTCAGAAGGCAAATTTGTCTTTTGTCGTATCAACTCGTATCGAATCTTTTATCTGTTTTCCGTAGATTTCGTTAATTCAGACGAATGCCCGTGCTTGTCGTCGGAATTACGCGAAACCGAAATATTTCCATTGTCATTAGCGAACTTCATTTCGCGCTTGGCTCTCTGATATACCGTTCCATTTATTAATCCACAACACACGTCGTAAGCACACCGCTACATAATTACGCCGTTTACATTCGAGTGTACGAATCGGCATTCGTGTAACGTTTAATATCGGAGCAATCAAGGTAATTTTAGTATTGCAGTGAATGTGAGACCGCAGCGTTTCCCAACGATGTAATTGGTAGTTATCACTTTTGAACGCGATGTTCTCTATAAATGCACCGCGCAGTAGCCTTTGTTTGTACTTATTTTCGCTCGTTGATTTTTTTCACGACGATTATTAGATTTTCCGTTCCTTAAATTTACTCCAACGTCGCAATTGTCCCGACCTTAAATAGACTTCGCTCATTTTCTTTTCCCGGAAATTCGCGCCGCACAGTGGCGAATTTTAATTCCTAGCCAAAACCTAAAAAATGAAAGTAGGCTTTAAGAGTTAAAATGTTTGCTAACTTTGAATTGAATAAACAGAGAAAACAAGTCAATAATTTTAATCCCTTTAAAACGTTACATTGGCTGCTGGCAATGCCTCCAACATGAGCATTGTGTCATAATTGTCTAAAAATTGTCAAATACTTAAAAATACAAATAAAATTGTCACATAATTGTCAAATTCGAGATAAGTTTCTATATTTATATTGAGGTATTAAATATATTATTTGCATTTAAACTCAAGATGAATTCAGCTGCTGGAGGTTTGTAGAATATACTTAGTACTAATAAATTATGAAAAACTATAAATTAACATTTTTAGAACCAGTTTATTAGAGCTACTACATAGGTTAGTGACATTTTTTATTAACTTATGGAAAAAGTAGTCAAACGGAAAAAGTTCAACGGAATTCAGTTAAACTCTTAGTATGATATTATAGTCCTGTATGTCTAATATTAGGACATAAAAACATATTCTGCGAATATTTGCGAATGACTACGTAAACGATGTTTAAAGAGGACAGAAGTCCGCGTAGCTTGTAAAGGACATTCACGAAGTTATGTCTACTTTTCAAAGATGATATGTATGTTCTTGAAAAGTACTCATCGAGACAAGTTTAACAATATATAACATTACTGCGTGAAATAAGAGTATTGTATAAAAATCGGGTATCAACATTATTTATTCAAATTTATTTCAGATTCGCAATCTAATCATATAATTTTAAAAAGAAGGGGAAGTAATGATGAAAGTAATGTTCTCTTCTCCTTCGACTAATTTTAACGCACGGACTGATTACTTGCTGGAATATGTGAAGAAAATTAGCGGGTACACTAAAGTGCTATCTATGGAAATAAAAAAATTGATATATAAATTCACTTTTGACGTTAAGTCAAAATTATTTGTTGCTTACCCTTACCATTTTTAGCTACTTTCCTGTCTTTGTACAATTCTGAGAGGTTTGGCCAGGATTTCGTGAAAATTCGCCACTGTGCGCCGGTTTAAAAGCATTACTATAACTCCCATACGGACGATTTTCGCACTTTTCGCCGTCTCTCGAAAATTCTCGAAATTTTCAGTCTCGGCGATGCATATATATACATATATATATAAATGTACGTATATGTATATATATATATATATACATATATATATAAATGTACGTATATGTATATATATATATATATATATATATATATAAATGTACGTATATGTATATATATATATATATATATATATATATATATATATATATATATATATATATATTGTCGCGCTGAATTTTATACCGGTTCGTATGCCAATATCGCTCGACGAGTTTACAAGGTTGCTTAATTAAGCCAGTTGTCGATAAATGTACATATAGATAGGCAGCCAAAATATTATCGAGTGCTTATACGCCGCCTGTATTCCCACAGGCCTGAAATTTCACGTGCCCACGTTCGAGTCGTCTCGTTTCCTCATCGATTCGCAATACATAGTGGACGAACGAGTAACTAAAAAAGAAAGAAAAAGTTCCGAATAGAAAGAGCGATCTCTTTCTAGCCGGTAAATGACCAGGAATTCTGGTTGCTGGCTTGTTTCTGGTCAGTTTAGGCGACGCTTGCTTCGCCAGTAACTGTGGACGATAAAAGTAGTCAGTTTCTGACCATTTCAGTTTTTAACCAAGTCTTTTTTGTACAAAATTTTGTCAGTTTTCATTCTCAAATAATTTGATTTTCTCTATCTTGTAAAATATTACATTCTATTACTCAATATGAAAATAATGTGAAACTTGTTATTGAATTGGTTGTATTTAATTACCTTTTCTCGCATAGTTTTTGGCCAGTAATTAGTCAAGAAACATTGGCCAATATTTTCTCGTGCAATCTCTAAACAGTTACTATTAAATAAACTTTAGCCAGTAAAACCAGCCAGTTCCCGAACAGTCTTTCCTGGGAGTTTTTTGCTTGGGATTCGCTTGGACGAAACACTATAAGCTAAAGACGAAGCGCTAAGGATACGCTTCCTCACAGAACGATGCGAGATATATACATAATACACGTATAACGAGGAAATAATTTTATTTCGCCTACTCGCTTTTCGCAAACTTTCGAGATTGCAAAGAACACCGCTCTCTTTGACACGTCGTAGGTGCTCTCGACATCTCGATCGACATACTTGTCTTTCACTCACTATCTCTCACACAGACTAGACTCTGACTATTTTCCTCTCGTGTACTTCGACTACTGAAACTTTCTCTTTAGTACTATTCATCCGCATGCCCGCATGCTTTGCGCCGCAAAATAGCGTATATAACATATAGGCGAATCCCCTAATTGGATTCCATCGGCCTAAACTCGCATACAGCTTCGATCTTGCATGTCCATCGATTTCCCCTCGATGCGACAGCTGTAGCGCGCAATATTATGGCGCACGTAGTGCGACAATAATTTAGAGCAGCGAGACTTATGAGTTGCGGTTGAAGCATCGCCACGCCAAGCTACGGGGATTGAACGGCAGTTTAGAAGCGCAGCGTGTTGCTCGTGTCAAAAGTGTTATTATGCCTGATCGATTTGGCGGAGCTAGTTTAGCCGAGGCAATGCAGTAATCGATGGTAGGATATAATTCATCGTTGTCACGTAGAAAGGAAAGTTTCCAGCGACATTTCTTACTCATAATATCGGAGGAAGAACTGCATCGGAAAAACTTTTCACAACGCAGCATCTTACTTTTATATTTCAATAAATTCTTTCGCTCTCTTTTTCTCGCCCTTTTCCCCTCTCTTTGTTCTTGCATTTTAAATTAATTACAATGGTTTGCAAAATTAGAATTTCGATAAGTGGCATGGACATTTTCTATGGTTTCTAACAGAATTTGGTGTGCTAAATTCAAATTGCAAAAAGTATTTATCATCTCTAGATTTTGATAAAATTAAGATTAATTTCTCACAAAAACAGGTTATTTCAACTAAGAGGCGATGAACATTTTTTGTGGCTGGATTTGAATTTAGTATACCGAAATCTATTAGGAACCATAGAAGATGTCCATTTATTATCTTTAATCATCACTTATTATTTTTAATTTTGCAGACCAATGTTATCATTTAATCGCTTGATTTTGACCCAACGATGTTTTTCATCGCAAGTGGTTCTTATCCTCAGCTGCCACCCCCCGCTCCCTCATGATCGTTGTACACTTCAGGAAATTTGCCTGACACGTAAGATCGTCGTGATTAGTTTCTCACACTTCATCTCCTTTCACTCCCGAATGTCTTTATCATTGTACATAGCACAAGTTCTCACTAGCGCGCCGCTAGCTTCCGGCACGTAGCATGATAGAACACTCTAGAGTACGTCAGCAGAAAGATTACCAGCCGAATTGACGACGAGCCAACTTGCTGGCTCTCCGTTGTAGCTAAGATTCGCTCTAATCTTCCTGCGACCGATCGCGTGCTTGAAAAGGCGTACATACATACATATATACATATATACATATATATATATATATATATATATATATATGTATGTATGTATGTATGTATGTATATTACGTCAGATCTGAATTAGGGGTTAGATTAGGTAACCGCGAGCACCGTGTTCCGCCTCAAGTGCGCGGATAATAACGGCGTCGTTCCCTTTACGATGTTCAGAGACACCGTTATGGCTGCTCCTGCAAATAGCGCCCATCAAGAACGAGCGGGACCTCGTGGTCCTGTTCTTGCTGACGTTTCGAGACATCACCGCCCTGAAACAGCCCATCGAGACGGACGACAGCAAAGGCGGTCTCTCAAAATTTGCCAAACTCGCCAGATCGGTCACCAGGTCGAGATCGGTCCTAGTTTCTCAGTTCAGCTCACACCTGCCGGCCTTGAAGGATACAGCCGTGCCGACCACCACCAAACAATCGCACTTGGCTCATGTAAGTCATTCATTAATGTCCCACAGTCCCAGTCGAAATTCTAACGACTCTTCCTCTCCTCAGTGATATCTGTGTTTGTGTTTGTAAATTTCTATTTTTCCTATGCTCCATAGTAGTTTTGTAAATTATATTTTATATTATATTATTGTGTATACAAGATGCCGGAATTTATAAGTATCCGATCACTTGTGTGGTCAACATCCAGATACCCTGTATATCTAAATCAAAGTAAAGTTGTTTTATTTATTTTATATTTTGTAATTAAGACAAATGGCATCCCGTCTAACATTTATTCTGGACGTTTGTATAAAGAAAACTGGAATGTTTCGCAAAATTTGGGTTGGTCACCCTAGAGTCTCGACCTCGTCGGGTGAACAGAAAGAGGCAAGCAGAAGAAAATGGGCACAGACCTTGAAAATCGTTTCTAAAGAGCAAATAATTCCGAGCACTGTAATATATAAAAGAAAAACTGCGCAACGACAATGTAACAATACCGACACTATTGTTGAAAATTGCAGAATAGGCCTACTGATGTCGATACCGCGGCTTTAGACGGCAGTAACTCTAATAAATCGGTACAACGGACATGAAATGTGTGCAAAGCAATCTCTTTTTTATTCCGAGAAATATCCGCCTCGATATTCTGCTTACCGTCGTTGAAAGTTTCTGGATTATTGGATCACTTAGAAACAGTCAATATGGACAATAGATAAGGTAGCAGCGACAGTCAACTTATGAATTCTCATTTAAATCAATGAAACAGAAACGCAGTTTCAATATTGCCCGACTTCGTTGAGTAACGGAGAGCTAAAAGCACATCTGCATGAACGTTCCTTCTATCAACACAGAAGGCTCATGCATTTGAAAGCTCTTCGGAGCGTGAGAAGCTAATGGAGCTCGACTGGTAAGAAAAAAAAAGAGATATCAGATAAATGGTACTCGCGATGGCTGGAGGCTCGATACGGAGGCGGCGAAACTCGCTCATATCGTCACGATAATGCCATTTGTGTGTGACGTAATATCGCTCGGAATAGAAAAAAAATATTGCGAAAGAATATTCGCGAATATAAAAGTTACGTCAACCTGACGATAATCTTCAAAATGTTTTAACGCCAAGTCCTGTGCTTTCAGATGATGTCCTTAAGCGGCGATGTTATGCCGCAATACAGACAAGAAGCCCCGAAAACACCACCCCACATTCTACTACATTATTGTGCATTTAAGGCGATCTGGGACTGGATCATTTTGTGTTTGACCTTTTACACAGCCATCATGGTGCCGTATAACGTCGCGTTCAAGAACAAGACCAGCGAGGACGTCTCCCTCTTGGTCGTCGACAGTATCGTCGACGTGATATTTTTCATCGACATCGTACTCAATTTTCATACTACGTTCGTCGGCGCCGGCGGCGAAGTGGTGTCCGATCCGAAGGTAAATTCGCCGAGTTTTCCCTTCACAAAATATTTCATCGTTCGCCAAGCAAAAATTATAATTAGTTTGAGCGTTTAGAAACGTTGAAAGCAAACATTTTATCGCCTGGAAAACTCGCATCTCTATAGTTACGCGTTCTAAATTTCATAAAAATAATTTGCACCGAGATCAATTCACGTGCACATTTTTTTAAATAATTTATAACTAAATTTTTCATCCCCAAGAAGAAAGAGCTAGCTCTTTCTAGCCAATACTTGACCAGAAATTCTGGTCAGAAATGAGTTTCTGTTTTTGACCAGTTTCTAAACAAACTTCTTTTTTACACAAAATTCTGTCAAATAGTTTTCATCGTTTGATTCTACATTGCAAAATATTGTATTATTAAATACAAAAATACTGTGAAACTCGTGTTTTAGAAGATAAGAGTCTTTTTATGTGCAAATTAATTCAGTTGAGATGGTCGTAGCTTTATTACAATTACCATTTTTTCTTGCCTACTTTCTGACCAATAACTGGTCAAAAAATACCGACCAATATTTTCTTGTTTCAATTTCTGAAAAGTTACTATCTCATAAAAACCGGCCAGCTTCTGGTCAGTGACCAGTTTCTCCTGGTGGAAAATCTTCTACTTGGATCAGTTTCATAGCTAAGTATATGTCTGCTGGCAGCAATACTTTTAAGTATCCCTATTTTACAATGAGATTTAGCCACATAGATCTAGCCACACATAGATTTTTGCTGCCGCAGTTAATTTTTTTTCGGTGCACACGATCGGGTAACTTTGATGTTTTCAGGTGATCAGAATGAACTACCTGAAGTCCTGGTTCATCATCGATCTGCTGAGCTGTCTGCCGTACGACGTGTTCAACGCCTTCGACCACGACGAGGACGGGATAGGTAGCCTGTTCTCGGCCTTGAAAGTGGTACGGCTGCTGCGGCTCGGCAGAGTCGTACGCAAGCTAGATCGGTATCTGGAGTATGGAGCCGCGATGCTCATTCTTCTGCTCTGTTTCTACATGTTGGTTGCTCACTGGCTGGCCTGTATCTGGTACGTCACATTAAGGTGATTTTACCCTGCGTACACACATCCAAGGTAACACGCCGCCGCTAATAGGGTGGCGGGGGTGGGTACGTCGCGTACACGATCGTTACCATACAACATCCATACACGCGCACACCACGTACACACCGATGTTGTCACTGTGACTCTTGCTGTGCCACGTGATATGTGCGCTTCGGGCCACCGCACCAAACTGACTTTCTTTCATCCCTCTCGCGGATTCTCTCTACCCGTCGCATCGCGCGCGTATCTCGGAAAATGTGTCTCTCCCCGATGTGTTGTCGCTTCTCATCGATAGTTAAGTGTATCAAAAGAATTTGGATCGAGTAGAAGGCGCGAGAACGCCTTGCGCCATTATTTCTTTATCATAAATAACGATATGCTCCTTTTAACCGAGCATATACATGTTACGCGAAAGAGCGCTCTTTAAAGTAAAATCAGTGTATTCTTCATTGAAATGATGCTATACTCATAACTGGTGATTCAGTTACAAGTATAGCACTGCAATTAGTAAAATCTCGTTGAAAAGATCAATTAATAATGTGTAATTATTATTCCCATTACTGATACAATTTGCAAGCACAGACAGTGCCATTGCACGCTAGACGCACGGAGACCATTAGTTCCATTGTCAAAAACGCAGAAAGTTGAATTTGGTATTTGTGTATTACAGATGAATTTATATATTACAGATTTTGCAGTGAAATCTTACTTCCATCGATCTAAATCAGTGAGAAGTAAGACAGAGTAGTAAAGTGAAAATGTTTTCTGAAAATCGACAAATACTCGGTGAAATAATTTCTTTATAGATTCAATCAGAAACATTTTCACTGATTCATTTTAAAAGAGCAAAAAGGCGATATTATTGGAAAAATATTCCAATGAACCGACAAAGCGCGAGTTAAAATTGATTGAAAAGTAATTCTAGCATGGCGTTGACAAACAGAAAAACATTGATTAAGTTTTATTCCCCGTGATCTCGAAGGGGGAATAAGTGCGCGACGTATCGCCCATCTGAGACTGCATTATCTCTTTCGATCTCATATCAATATCTGTCGTTGATCGGGCCCGACGCAGCCTCGTAAGAAATTTCCTTGCGTTAAAGGTATTCGATAGGGAGATCAGATGCCGACAATGGGGTACAATATTCCTGGTTGTGGAAGTTGGCCAATGTTACGCAGTCACCGTACAGCTACTTGTGGACCAATGCCAGCACTGCACCAGAGCTAGTAGCTGGCCCGTCACGCCGCACGATGTATGTCACTGCTCTTTACTTCACAATGACTTGCATGACCTCCGTGGGCTTCGGGAACGTTGCGGCCGAGACCGACAACGAGAAGATTTTTACCATCTGCATGATGATCATTGCTGGTACGGATACAATACCCGTAAATCTCTATTCTTTGCCGAAATCGGTAATAAAAGAGAGGACACGACCGCGAGAACATGTCCTCCTTGATCTGCCGTCGCGATAATGACTAGACAATGATTCGCGATAGCGTAATAAGGTCTTGAAATCGCCATTTTTTCTCTCTTTCTCTCTCTCTCCTTCTCCCCTGGTCAGCCTTACTGTACGCCACGATCTTCGGCCACGTCACCACGATCATCCAGCAAATGACGTCCGCCACCGCCAAGTACCATGACATGCTGAACAACGTGAGGGAATTCATGAAGCTCCATGAGGTGCCCAAGGCCCTCAGCGAGCGTGTTATGGATTACGTCATCAGCACGTGGGCGATGACGAAAGGTCTAGACACTAACAAAGTTCTCAACTACTGCCCCAAGGATATGAAGGCCGACATCTGCGTGCATCTCAACAGGAAAGTCTTCAACGAACACGGTGCCTTCAGGTAAATCATATTTTTGCAACATTTTCGTGCGCTTTTCACGAGGCAATTTATTTCCCTATTTACTCTCCTAATACTTTTATATTTATTTTTTTTTATTTTCAATATATTCCCTTAGCTTGATAAAGTTCAGGATCCAGCTATCAATTTACCACTTATCTTTCTGGTTGTTTAAGAAAGAGTACAGGAAGTACAGGAAACTATAAAAAGGTTTCCTTGAAGCTTTTAAAGGGGAATTTGCAAACTCTCGACGCTCTAATTTACGAACGAGCTTTTAATTAATGTGCAGGTTAGCGTCCGATGGATGCCTGCGCGCTTTGGCGATGCACTTTACGATGTCGCACAGCGCGCCCGGCGATCTGCTCTATCACACGGGCGAGTCCATCGACTCCCTGTGCTTCATCGTGACCGGCAGCCTCGAGGTGATACAGGACGACGAGGTGGTGGCGATATTGGGCAAGGGTGACGTCTTCGGCGACAGCTTCTGGACGAACTCGTCGGTCGGCCAAAGCGCGGCGAACGTTAGGGCGCTCACTTACTGCGACCTGCACACGATCAAACGGGATCGACTGCTGGAAGTGTTGGACTTCTATCAGGCCTTCGCGAACTCCTTCGCCAGGAACTTGATCTTGACTTACAACCTGAGCCATCGGGTGAGTTCATTGAATATAAAAATAACGCGCCCGTCACAAGTCGGTGTGAACTGAGAGAAGTTTTCCGATAAAAAAATTATCAAACGGATATTTCCGTTTGATCAATTTTTATATCCGATTAAATTCAGTCGGATACTTCCGGTCATAATGACGTTTCGTCGTATAAACCGATTAAAAAAATTGAGGACCGATATTTCTCATTGGACGTTTTTCCTAATCGGATATAAAAATTGACCGGTATTTTATCGGATTTTGATCGGAAATATTCGTTTGATGATCTTTTTGTCGGATAATTTCTCTCAGTGTGGGAGGGAGTGCGAATAGAAATGAAGATACCGCGACGTAGCGTTTGATTGTTTATTGAACTTCCCATAGATTTTATAATAGTGCAGAAAGTTTCCTGTTTCGACTTGTAGTCGGCAAATGATCGCTGGCGATCGTTGTTTGCGCGGTGATAGATTTTCTTCTTACTTCCTCATACGACACAATTATACACAGTCTTAGTTAACAAGAGCAATTTGTATGGCACACGTTTCGTTTATATAATCAACATACGGAGAATGATAAATTATAACAATTAACAACCGACTCGTCAGGCACTAGACAATAGGCATTCAGGCCACGCAGCGCGATTGGCATGATATACTTTTGATATCATAGCGCTGAGAATTCATAAATACACGTATACACGACGTAATGAAGTTACACGAGAAGTCATAATCGAGTGACCGAATGAAAATAATGGTGGCAAATCGAGACTCATCAGGCCGTTTAAAAAGGGACAAAAGTCCTAATAATACGCACAGGGAAACGTTTGGATGTGTCCGACTCTCTCTGACTTCGATTCTTTCTGGATATGTCGTTGGCGTATGTGTCTCGGGATAAAAGACATATTGATAACGAGCCGTTGCTCTATCAACTCCGCACGCGTCAGTCATCTCCGTTCTATTGGGAAAGATAACAAAATACTAGTTTTTCTCGTGAGAGAGTTGCGGAACTCGAGATACGAAAAATATCAATTTTCGAGAAATCTCTGTTATACACATTGGAATATCATTATATCCAATTATTACAGTTACTATTATTATTATTATTATATTCGAAGTTCATGAAGATTGGAGAGGATCACTTGTCGAAACGTTCCCTCGTTAGATAAATTACAAAACAAATAGAAATCTGTAGAAATGTACATAGAGACCGCTCGTACACAGAATAGACAGACTGTTACACTCAATCTTCATGCGATGACTTTCGTAAAAGTGTAATTTGTTTCCGCTTCGCGCTTTGATTGCCTCTCGCGGCGTTATCACACGGATCCCTTTTAACATACTCCGCCGATATGCACAGTCGCATAAATTGTGCATCGCGAAGTTTACCATGAGTTTCCTTCTTTCCTTGCTCTTTATCATGTCGTGAAGCGCAATTACGAGTCTATAACAGTTTACTAAATACGTTTCTTGTACCCGCGTATTCCATTATACAATAATTGTCAAGATTGATAACAGATTTACACAGACTTTATTCGAAATCGATTAACGTTTCAAATATTTGTAAATATCTTTATAGCTAATCTCCTCTCTCTCTCGTTTTTTCTCTACGACTTCCGTAAAAATCTCTAAATGCACATCACAATTACTGTTCCTCCTCACGGAGTCCCTCGCTGTGCAGCTTGCGACCGGACAGTTCTAGCATAATTTTCGATGTCGGGTCTTGATCTAGCACAGATTTCATCTCGCGCTCGTCCTCCTGCGCGTCCGACGGCTTCGGGCCGACTCCCCACACCTCGCAGTGTTTGATTTTGAAGTCCTCCTTACCGCTAAGTTGAACGTAATTCTGAAAAGTCGTGCACGATACGCTCGACTTGCCGGTGCCGTACTCGCAATCCAACCAGAGGCCAGGATAATTAAGCTGCCCCCCCATGAGCAAGCCGTTAGGCATCGTTTGTTGATGGAGATTTAGATACTGATAGTGGCTATTGTAATTCGTCGCCGAGAACGTCAGTATGTCCGGCTCGAGCTTGAACAAAAACGACGTTTGATTCCCGATGAAATTCGGCCCCAACTTCCAACTGTCGGAGGCGAAGCCGCCGAACACATGATCGTCCATGTCCTGAAGTATGATTATCGTGGCGCCTTCCATCACGATCCTGCCCAGCATAGTGGAGAACGACTCGCCGTGCACCTGGCTAGAGAATAAGAAACGCCACTCGTTACGGAGCTCGTGCGGCAGGCTCAGGTTCAGGAACAGTACGTCTCCCAGTCCTAGTATACTAGGAAAATGCGGCGTGTTCTCCAAACCGCCGCAGATCGGCAGAAGATTGAGGTCGTTTATTCGCGCGCTCGTATTCTTATCACCCTTCTTCTGAGAGACTAGATAGAGGTACTGGAAAACGTGCGACTGGATGCTCTTGAACGTAGCTGCCGTCGTGAACCAGTTCTGCACCTGGTCGACGGTCAACACATCCCCGTACTTGATGAGATCCTCGCAAAGGCTCCGGGAACGCATCCCGATGCGCCTGGTGTTCACGGTGCAGCCAATGTTGCTCCAGGTGAGGTAGTGCGCGTTAGCAGAGTTCTTCTGCAGTCGCAGGTAGGAGTTGATCGTTGCTTGAATATACTTGAGGAACGTATCGGTGGGCATCTCATACTTCTGCTCTTCCTCCGAGAAACCGTCAAAAATCAAATTCGTGCGTTCCTCGGTGCTACCTCGCACAGCGAACACGTAAAGCCGACCGAAATTCTCGCAATTGACAGCGGAGACCCTCTTGCCTGGCTCATGGCAGAGGAAGCGTACCACAAATTGCAGCAGTAAATCGTCTAAATGTGTTGACCAATGCTTGAATATATCTTCACGTTTGATAGAACCTGAGCTACGAGACATGGACTTAAACAGATTCTCCACTAGTGTCAGCTCCTCTGCAGAGAGGATGTTCGCTGATGAGGCAGAACGGCTCGACCCATGACCCATCTGAAACAGATATTTCCAAATTTGTTATTTCACTGATGACTTGGTGAATCATATTCTGCATTTTCTCACTACAGATTATTACAAATTTAAAACTTCTTATTTATATACTTTTCATCTTATTAATTTCTTATTCTTTCATTCTCATCATCAATCATTTCATTCTAAAGTTAAAAAGAAGAGCTTCTTACATAAGTTTTTTCAATAACATATATATTCCTTAATACTTGAACCCTTATTCAGAATTTTCTTTTGTCGATAAAAACATCTCTGTAACTCTGTAAAAACTGTACTTGTAAGCCAATGAAAATCGATAAAAGAGAATTCAGAACAAGAATCTCTCTTAGACTGATATTAACAGTCGTTACTTAAAACTTGCCTCAGTAAGATACACGAATTTAAAATTAGATGTGAATTTTTCAATAGATGTCCAAGTTTATTATTTTTCTGATGACTTACTAAATCATCCTCCATATTTTTTCCTACAAAGCTACTATAAAATTAGAAATTTTTCTCTCTTATATGCTTTTCATTTTATACTTGTCACTATTATTTTTTTATTACAAAATTGAAAAGGTTTCTAAAGGGTTTCTCTTATATGCTTTTCATTTTATACTTGTCACTGTTATTTTTTATTACAAAATTGAAAGGGTTTATAAAGGATTTCTCTTATATACTTTTCATTTTATACTTGTCACTGTTATTTTTTCATTACAAAATTGAAAATTTCTACGCAAGTTCCTTCGACAACATATATTCCTTAGCCACTTGGACCCTTATTCTGAACACTCTTTTGCCGATGAGAGTGCCTCTAAATATACTCGTGAGCCAATGAGAATCGATAAAAGAGAATTCAGAGTAAGGATCTTGAAGCTAACCTGATATCTCGTGTTATCTTCGAGTAGCATTTCATACGCACCTTTCATACGGACCAGCAATCTTTCCCGATAGTCCATACACGTCGTCTTTCACTCGGTCGTCTCGTGGACGTCGAGACAAAGAACGCGAAGAGACTAACGAACCGCGCAACTCCACGACACCTCCGTCAACACCTCGTTTTCAGCACGTGTATACTTCACACGTCACGTCGCGTCACGTAACGTCACGTCGTCGCGCGAACGACGACGACGACGACGACGACGGTCGCGTTGGACGTTTACGCGCTCGGCGGATTTCTAGGTTATGTGACGCGAGGGGCCCGCTACGTGTGCGTGCGCGCCTTATCGACACCTATCGACTTCCGTCATCACGCCTGCGCCACTGACCTTCGCCAACTCCGTCCGGTCGCGCCGTTCGGATGCACCGTTCGCGTATGCACTTGTGCATTTCGGTCGCATTGCGTTCTTCGCCGGCGAAAAAAAAAACAAAGGCTCACAGATGGAGGATTGACATCGAGGATCGAGACGCGACATAGAAACGCACGTCTCGCGCGAACGTTCGCTCGAGTGACGCGAGATGGACGCGCCGGGAGCGCTGCGAGGGAGGAACGAGAGAGAGAGGGACGAGAAACTCCGAAATGCGGTCTCGCTCAAAGGGAATACGCGCGTTACACGAGTTATGCAATTTTCAAGCGGCAGATGAGATGACCCGCATATGCACAGAGCGCATTCGGGATGACGCGCGTGCATAATACGTCGAAGCGGAGCAGCGTTGGCTGCTTCCGCGCGATCTTCGCGTTGGCGCGAAAACGCTTGGTCGTTAAGTATCGCTTATAAACTCTAATTACTCCCTTCTCTTTGCGAACTATTAAAAGTTTTGCACGGAATTGAAAGCGTTCCTTTTCGTTACGTTGCACACCGAGAAAAAGATGTCTGAGAATTTATTTGCGGGGCATAAGATTCAATCGCAGATATACATTTTATTTCACAGAAATGAACTTTACAAATCAATTTTTTAGTACTTTTTTCGATGCAACGAGGGTAACTGCCACGCGCTACACTGAGAAAAGAATATTCGAGAATTTATTTGTGATATATAAAGTTTATTTGTGAGCTTTCGCCCCACGAATAAATTTTATATATTTAGATGTACATCTTCGTGACTTTCGTCAGTGTGTCTGTGCTAACAAAATTGAATTCTGTGCTGCAGTTGATCTTTCGGAAGGTCGCCGATGTACGTCGGGAGAAGGAGTTGGCCGAGAGGAGGAAGAATGAGCCGCAGCTGGACCAAGCTCAGGATCACCTAGTTCGCAAGATCTTTTCAAGGTAGGAGAAAACACACTTGCCAATAGCTGTTAGTTTTCGTATTCGGACACGATATCGAACGCAATATCGGGCACGACGCCAATTTGCTCATCCTTGGAACGAACAGACGAATTAAAAGGAACAGATGAGTCCATGAATTCTGCGAGAGAGATTGCATGTGTCTGATCTTCGAAAAAATTTGGGGATTGGCCGTTTTTGTTTCTCTTCTCTCTCTAATTTCTCGATAAAACCACTTCGTTTCGCCGAAGCGTGGCTTTAACGACTATCGAGGTATGCGAGGGGGAAAAAGGGGCGCGCAGTTTCGTGTATTCGGAATTTATCTTCCCACACTGTTCACTAGATATAAGGGAATGTGTAATTTCCGACGTACGGTGAATTACATCAAGTTCCGCATAATGATTCACGATACTCTCTCATATGTGTAGAACATATGTGTGCGCGCGTACAGTGACACGCTGAATCCGCCGCGATTCCGAATCTAGATCACACGGGATAATTAAACCGAATTTAATATTCGGCCTGACAATAGCGGGCCGTATTTCGGGAGGAGCGAACGGAGACCGTATCCTCTCGACACATACACATATATATACATACAAACATACACACACCCACACATCCGTGCCTCTGTGCGCGTGCACACGTGAGATCTCCTGCGTGACACACGTGCGAACTAGAGAAAGAGAGGAAAAAAGAAAAAAAGCAATAATGTCGAATCGAAACGAAGAATAAAGCGTGCGAGAATGTGTAGGGTGAGAGTATGAGGAAAAGGCGCAGGAAAAGCGACCGAATTTATCGCGCGCGATGTTTACACCCACCACCGCGGCTGTTGCTGATGTGACTGTTGATCGTTGCTTGGCTGGCCTGTTGTTCCGCAAAGGTTCAAGACCGACGGGGAAGGCCAGATCGGCGTGACCAGGACCGTGAGCGGACGGTCCCAGCAGGATTCCGACGAGGAGCTCACCGTGAACGTCCTGCCGCCATGGCCGAGTTTTAGGCAATTTCATTTCTCTTACGTATTTATTTCTTCTCCAATTCCTTTTTGCCGTTCCTTCGCTACTTTTTACGTACACGTTTCTTATTATTATTATAATTATAATTATTATATCATTACTGTTATTATATATACATTATATATACATATCTCTCTCTCTCTCTCTCTCTCTCTCTCTCTCTCTCTCTCTCTCTCTCTCTCTCTCTCTCACCATCTCGCGTTATCATTTGCCGTTGAATTTCTATTTATTATCATTATGTGATTCCACAACAATTGTTATTATATATTTATAAATATTCTTATTGCCGTGTGGTTATACGACCGCGCCATTTCTTTTTATTACTACCCATTATATTGCGATGTAAATAATATGTTAAACTATATTACATTTTATATACACACATAATATTTCCAGAATCCGTTTCAATATTCGTATACACACGTGTATATATGTAATACTCATGAATACCGTACGTATATATATATGTATATATATATATATACACACACACACACACACACACACACACACACACACACACACACACACCACAGCAGCGCGAGTGATGCACGTATCTCTGCGGTTTAATCCTGCATTTGCATTTTGATGATTCGTTAATTAAAAGCCCTGTTTTCGGCCTCTCCAGCGGCGGAGTTGACACGGCGATAAGAACGTAACGTGATAATAGCCTGCGCGCATAAAAAATCCAAAAGCGAATATCCCGAAGAGAGTGCGCTTCTGAGATGCGTCCCGGACGTTTAATAATTTTGTAAGCAATCTACATGCGAGGCCACGCTCTCCGAATGTTACGTCGTGATCGAAACAAGTGAAGGATTAAATCGCAACCACCTCTTTGAAACCGATGTAACAGGATGCTGTTCTGTAACATTGACAAATCTCGATGCTTCCTCGAGACCGACTCGGCGATTTTTTCTTCGACGAGAGAGCCGTCGGCAGTTTTTTCACTTAACTCCCGCCCCAAGCGGATTGTAATTCGCCAAAGTCTCGAGTCGGGATCGTGCACGCGTTGTGGGCCGGAGGAGCGAGAGAAAATCCGAATAGAGGCTTCCGCTCTGTAAGAAGAAATCGATCCCGGACTATTCGAAGCTGTCGCGAAGGCGAAATTTGTCATTGTCGGCCGAGAGCACCCTGTATACACATATTCGGGCGCTTCCCTCCGCATTCGCCGCGAATACCGTAAATGCGTCCCGTAATGTGCCAGCCGGAAGGTATCACGTACGTGCACTCGCTGTACACACGCTTGTATGTGAACGATAAATTTTCATCGCACGTCTACGTCGAAACGCGAGCAAATCGAGACTGGTCTATCGACCGCCGCGAAAAATTCCTCGGATTCGCGTTTGTTCTTATCGAAACGCGTATTCTCTCCCTTTCTCTTTTTCTCTTTCTCTCTCTCTCTCTCTCTCTCTCTCTGTCTCCGAACTCCATTTTATGGATAAAACTTATACTTTATGGATAAAATATCAGTACCATTCATTCGCCAATATATCCGCGATCTTGCTGATATCTGGACCATGTCCAGATAATAAGACTGTAAAACAAAGAAGAAGCTGTACAGAAAGAAAGAACATTCCTGTTTTAAAAATATTTTTCTTTTTTACATGTAAATCTAGAAATGAAATCACATAATATCAAATGAAGACGAGTTACTCGTATCAGTGCATTTCATATAATTCAACAAGGAAAAATATATTCTTATCCAAAAATAATTTTCACGAATAGAAAACACGAAATGTTGGATTGAGAATATGAAGTTTTCAAATGTCGAAAAAAGGTATCATTACCATCAAAATAATCATATTGTACTTCTTATGAGATTATTGTAACATGCAAATGAAACTGTTGAGAGATTCAAGACTTAAAAGTTCTTTTAATAAAATTATATATCATTGCTTACACATCACATATCATTGCTTACACATAAAACAATGATCGATAATTAGAGTATATTACTTTTAAACTAATATTACTTTTATACTAATTTTTTTATGTGCGAAAGGATTTGTCTCGTGGCGTGATTTTTTTATGCGAATTACCGAATGATTTCTTTGTGAGTAACCATAATTTTTTCTATGAATGTCACACGTTGACGAGAACATGCCACGAAATGTTCTTCGATTTGTTCGTCCTTCCAGCTGCATTTTCACGAGACGCACCCCTCTCACGCGGTACATTATATCATCATCATCATCGTCATCTTAACGATCACTGCAGTTTCTAATGAATGCTAGAGTGCTGTAAAATATACGGCTTTAGAGGGTTATGCGCATTTTCTTCACATCATATATATATAGTATATACATATATACTTTTTGTAACTAAAAACCCGAGTTATATAGAGCGAGTTTGCAGGATTTCGTATAGTTTCCACTCTTGGATGTACAGCTTCGCAACTCTTTATCCGCCAGCTTTCAGTCCTCAGCGCTAGAGCGAAGTACCGCGTCGCCGTGATGCGGTAACGACGACGTAAACGTAACGTCGAATTAACGGCGATGCTTGCAAGGCTTGTGTTTCGTAGAACGCAAAGATTGTCCGGCTTAAGTCGAACAAAACGCGATGTAATGTATTTGACAAAATTAATACGTAACAACAGTAAGTAACACGACAATATTATAAGTAACAGGAATATCACCGTGTGATATATAGCGTGTACGTTCTCATTAGAGAACAATTCAAGCGGACGGTATCTCATATCCGGCTGATTAAAAATTACGAACGGCTGGTCGATCTGGCGCACATCTGACGTGCTAGAACTAACGTTATCGACCCGGATATCCGTAATGCTGTCGCTGAAGTGAGAGATTACCGAAATCCTGACGCGTTTCGAGCATCCGATCTTTTCCGATTTCATACGTAAAAGCGAAGTGCATGCTACGAACACACACACTCTAGGATTCAGAACTTCTCTCTTTGTCTCCTACCCTATTTGAGTATCTTCACGAGTACGTATTTTACGTACGAAACGTTCTGAGATTACTGTCATGCAGCTGCCCGAGAAACTACCGGAATGCCCGATAAGGAACTATACGCGGCACATCACGTTTTCGCTGCGTTTGCGATTACTTACTTATTCACTGCAGCGCCACAATCTTCTTTCTTACTTTCACTACGATAATCATCGGTGATTTTTGTATCTGTAACTTTCGCATTTCTCGACTGCCTGACTTTTAGACTTATACAGAGTGTTTAATGATTATTGACATCGTTGTGTGCAGGTGAAACTTATCAAACAACTAAGAACAAAGTTCCTCTATCATTTCCCGGGCAAGCACGTAAAATTTTGAGATATTAATTAAAGAAGATTGGTAAATGATCACGCGCGCAATACAATGGATGAGCTGTGATGGCAATGTATCTGCTGTACATTATGTCAAACTGAACAAAAAAGTCCTTTATATTTTGCAAATGATGCAATTTTTCCATATTTTTGCAATTTTTAGATATTGATTAAAGAAGATTGATACACGATTGCACGCAATATCGCACAATTTTTTTCGATTAATAACTAAAAATCTACGTGGTTATTTACAAAATGATACACAGAAAGTTTTGTAGTAAAAATTACTATAGAATTTTGTAATCAAAAATTAGACGTTCTGTCGTAAATGATTGTCCTTTCATCTCATATGTGCTTGTATTTCAGAAACTAAAATATTAAAAATTTTAATATTAAAAAATTTGCTATTAAAAATTTGCTATATTTCTAGCTAAATTTATTGTTTCTTGGTAAAATAAAGCTTACTGATAGTCTATTCCTGGACTACTAAAAAGAAAAATGTTGAAAAGAATTTATATAAAAAGGAACTATAATATTTTCTCCGTATAGAGGATTTTTTGTTTAGTTTGTCTTAATGTACAAGCACACAGTTATCACGGCTTATTCAACGTATTTCGCATAATCTCTTTCGCCAATCCTCTATAATTAATAAGAAAATTGTACGTGGTTGTTTATAATATGGTAGAAGAACTTTGTATTCAATTTGATTCAGTTTTATCTGCACACGGATGTATTATGAATCGTCAAACACCATGTATAATGTACACACATTATAACGTGCTTTCGCCGCTAACAATTCCACTCGAGGTCTTGACTTACAGCCTTACGTTACTTTTCTCTGTAGCAATAATTGATTGACATTACATTCACTATTTGCGATATAGTTCTTTTTTTTATAATAATTATATTATATTATATTGCAACAGAGTCGGAAGGTACTGTTATATATATATATACGATAGTTTGACAATAGATTTATTCATTTATGTGCATGTACGGAATCGAGTTTTTTTTTTAGAGATAATGATAATGATAAGAGATAATACACTCGAGTTTGCTTATCTTATTATAGTAATCTTATATTAGTAAGTCCTGTAATGAATAAGGAACTCTTTTATCCAGTTGAGTACCAAAAGAATCTGAGAACGCCTTTATCTCTCGATTCAATCGACTGCATGGAGTAATATTATGATACTTTAGTTTCCATATATATATATATATATATATA